GCAGTGGTGTCATCATGGCTCACTGTTGCCTCGGTCTCCTGGACACAAGTGATCCCCCCACCTCAACCTCCCAATTAGCGGGGACCACTGGCGTGCACTACCACACCCAGCTACTTTTAAATTTTTTTTGTAGAGATAGAGTCTTGCTTTGTTGCCCAGGCTGGTCTTAAACTCCTGGCTCCCTCAAGTGATCCTCCCTCCTCAGCCTCCCAAAGCGCCGAGATTCCAGGCATAAATCACTACGCCCGGCCTCATTTTGTTTCTATAAACAGGGATAGCAGGAGTCCTCATGTCTTGAGGGTTTTGTGAGGCTGGGGCACAGCGGGCCTCACTCAGTCCCCTTTATGTGTGTCTCTTACCCCTGTTCTTCCCGGCTCCAGTGGCCTTCACGGGTGGGTCCAGCCCTGCCCACCCCAACGCTGTGAGCAGGGGGAGCGTGGCTCACCTGGGCACCAGGCGTTGAAGAGCAGGGTGAAGTGGCCCAGGACGAAGCTGGAGCCCTGGTAGCCGGTGGCGGCCTCCAGGCTGAGGCGATACAGGCCGATGGGGGCGTCGGCGGGGGCGGTGAGCTGCAGCGAGAGGGCGCAGTCCTGCCGGTCCACCACGGCGGCCGTCCAGCCACCCTCCTCTGCAGCGTCTTGCAGTGGAAACCGGGCCTTGGTCCCGGCCTCTTTGCTGGGTGCTGGGCCTGGGGGAGGAGACGCAGTAGCCATGAGCTAGGGGTGGGCAGGGCTGGCATGGCACCCACCTGGGGTCCCCCGGCTTGGGCTCCAGGCCTAGTTCTGCCACTAACCACTGAAATAACTTTGGCAAGAAGTTTTGTCTCTCTGAGCCTCCGTTTCCTCATCTGTAAAGGGGACTCAGAACCCCAGCCTTTCAAAATGGTTCTGTGGGAATGCATAAAAAGCCACAGGCACACAGCATGTCCTCAACTAGAGAGCTTCCTCCTAAGACAGGGCCACGCAGCCCGGAGCCAAGTCTCAACTCCACTGCTCTGCCATGACATGACTCTGACAAGCCCATCCCTCTCGCTGGGGTCACCTGGCCCATTTGTGTAGCATAGACAAGGATTAGGCAAGATGCCCTGGGGCCTTCTTTTCCTGCCTAAACCCTCTACCCTTTCTTTTTTTTCCTTTTTTTTTTTTTTTTTTTTGAGATGGAGTTTTGCTCCTGTCGCCCAGGCTGGAGTGCAGTGGTGTGATCTTGGCTCACTGCAACCTCCACCTCCTGGGTTCAAGCGATTCTCCTGCCTCACCCTCCAAAGCAGCTAGGACTATAGGTACACGCCACTATGCACAGCTAATTTTTGTATTTTTAGTAGAGACGGGGTTTCTCCATATTGGTCAGGCTGGTCTTGAACTCCCGACCTCAGGTGATCCGCCCGCCTTGGCCTCCCACAGTGCTGGGATTACAGGGTGAGCCACTGTGTCTGGCCACATCCTGCTTTTTCTTTCAGAGAAGGAAGCCCAGTTGCTGAGCAGGAAGGGACCTCCGTCCACTGAGAACCCCCTGCTGTCAGGCCGTGAAGGGTGCTGGCTGGCCCACACAGCCTCTAGGTGTCTATGACCCCAAGCCCCCCAACTGCTGTTCCCTGCATCTCCATAGGCAGCTCCGAGATGCCGATCAGAACCACCCCTCACCTTCCTACAGCCTTTGACACTTTATGAAGCATCCGCTTCCTTTGAGACCCCTTGCCCAGGTGAGAAAACTGGGGCTGAGAGAGAAGGGGCCTCCCAAGGATACCCTAGGACTTTGTGGCCAAGGTTGCATCTGAAGGGGTCTGTCGCTCTTGGTGGTCTTCTACGGTGCCTCTCCTTCCCAAAAAGGATGCTCCCTGGCCGAGTTCTCAAAGGTACAGTGATGTGCATGCTGAAACGCAGCTGCTTTTCCAGGTGGGGGGAGGGCCCCACCCCTGCAGGCAAGTCTGAGTCATGGGCAGGGCGAGGAGGGGCTGGCCACTTTCTGGACATGGGCGGTGGAGGGGAGACAGAGGACATTCTCTGCCTGGCTGGGCGGGTGCCCGGGAGAGTTTATTTTTATTCTTCCATCTCCCTCCCTGCAGCTCTGCCCACCACTGCTGGCATTATTGGGGCCTGCTCACCCAGGAGCTCCCTCCCAGCCCCCAGCCCCCTCCTCCCTGCTGGCCAGCCCCACTCACACCCAGCTCAAATGTAACCATGAACTAACAGGAACGATACAGGCCTCTGGGGCCCTGCCCAAGTGCCAGGAGCCAACTGGAAGCCTTTGAATGTTCCCTAACTTCCAGAGCTGGCGTCTGGGGAGGAGCCGTGCAGGTTTGGGGTCCCAGACCCACCCTGGATCTGGCTCCCTGACTCTGCCCCTGAGCACCGTGTGACCTGGGCCACATCACCAGGCCTCTCTGATCTGTTTTCTCACCCAGGAAGAAAACGGGCTTAGGCCACATGCCTGGGAGGGTCCAGTCTCAGGTTTGAAACTGACTCTGTGACGAACAAGTTACTAGCTTCTCTATGCCACAGTTTATTCATCTGTAAAATGGGCCAGCGGCAGTTGTCTCCCTATAAGGTTGCTGTGAAGCTTAAAGAGGACAGGTATGCAAAGCATCCCACAAGGCGCCTGGTGTATAGTAAGTGCTAGGGAAATCATAGTTAGTCCTGTTCAGTTTTCATGAACACCTCCCAGCTCTGTGTAGAGCGTTCTGTGAGAGTTCATAGAAAGCATTCTGAGCAGTGACCAGCTCACGGTAATTATGCAGGAAACGTGAGCTATCGTCAGTGTCATTAAAAGGGGCCACTAAACATCTGAATTCTCAGGCCAAACAGCAGATGGTGAGGACTGGAGTGGAATGTAGAGATTGTCTAGTTCCACTGAAGAACTTCACAGATATGGAAACTGAGGCTGAGAGGGGTGGCGCTGGGGTGACCATGGAGCGCCGTTTGCTCAGGACAGCCTCAGTTTATGCCAGCGGTCCCAGCATAATTCTTAAGGGCGCTCCTTTCAATCTCAGAACTGTCCTGGCTCGGAGGCTCAATGATCCGGTCTCTGTGGCAACAGGCCTGGGCCAGGTCCCATCGCCACTGTTGCTGTCGACATGTCACCCTTGGGGACAAGTCAGGAAACGCACTTTCCTTTTTCTCTATCTTGGGGCAGCCATGCACACACACTCACCCCTTTTTTCCCGGGTCCCTGGGGGGCAGGAGAAGGCCAGGTTGTCCCTCAGTCCGCCCGCCGCTCACGCTCACGTAAGCTGGTTTCACAAATTCCTTGGCTGTGGTTCCACACCATCCTCTCTGGGGGACCAGGGGCTCCATGAGGACCACTCTGGGCCCAAATGACCACAGGGACCCTAGGGTCCTGGCCACTGTCCCAGACCATGGTGGCTGGGCTGGGATGGGGTGTGTGAGCAGAACCTTCCAGAGTAAAGCCTTCTATCAGCCACATAAGGGTTCCTTTCACTCCTCCAGGCTGACCTCACTTCCACTGCCACCTCCACACCCCCTCAAACCCCGACCCCGCCTTGGAGGGAAGCAGAGCTTTATCGCTCTAACAAGGATGGCATTTGTCTAGTGTGGTCCGGACCCCATAACAGAGTCTGTCGGGTCTCTAACTGTCTGGGTGAAAACACAACATCTGGGAATGTGTGGGATCAGGCCACACACTCCATTCGCTGAGTGACCTTCGCCAGCTCTCCTGTGTCTCTGGGCCTCAGTTTCCCATGACAAGCTAGAATGTTCCCGCACAGCAGCAGAGTCACCTGGCCAGGCCTTGAGCCGGGCGCTGACCCAGGTCAGGCCTGGAGCTGGTGTGGGGAGCTGGTTTCCTGGTATTGTCCCTCAGGCTTCCCCAGGCCCTGGGAATTGCATGGTTGCTTGGACAGGGAAGCTGTGCGCACTCAGAGTCCTGGGCTCTCCGCAGCTGCCTACAGGGGCTGCGGAAGTGACCAGGGCAGGTTGGTTATGGGCTGAGATAAGTCGGTGGGGACTGGAGGACGGAGATTAGCTTGCTGGGGTGGGAAGGTCAGCTACCCTTCACCCAACCCCAACTCAGGGCCCTAATGAGCTAACACTATGCCGCCCAGACAATTAGAGATGGACAGGAAGAAAGGCGCCTGGAGAGGGAAAGAAGAGAAAAGCAGGCGGCCCTATCCTTAGCAAACGAACGCAGGAGCAGAAAACCGAATCCCACGCGTTCTCGTTGTAAGTGGGAGCGAAGGGACGAGAACACGTGGACTCAGACAGGGGAGGGTAACAATACACACTGGGGCCTCTTTGACGGTGGGGGTTGGGAGGGGGGAGAGGAGCAGAGAAAATAACACTTGGGTACTAGATTTAGTATCTAGGTGATGAAATAATCTGTACGGCAAACCCCGTGACACAGGTTTACCTGTATAACAAGCCTGCACGTGTACCCGTGAACCTGCAATGAGTTTAAAAAAAAGAAAGAAAAATACATAAAAAAGAAAGTAGAAATCACAGACCGCCCAAGCCAGCGGCTCATCGACCGTGCCGTCTCACAGAGGAGCACACGGGGCCCCCGCAGGCACTGGTGGTAAATGTGCGCCCTGCAGGGACAAAGGGATGCAGCGCCTCACTCTGTGGTTGGGGTCTGAAGCCTTCTGTGTCCCTAACTCGCTGTGTGACGGACCCTCCTGAGCCAGTCACTTGACCTCTCATAGCCTCGGCTTTCCCACCTGCAAAATGCAGTCCTTTATACTTCTAAGCTGCGAGGATTCGAGGCGAGCATGTGTTCAGCGGGTGCTCCACGGATGTCGTGATTTTCACTATCCCAAGCCTGACTCTTCTCAGGTCACCAGACCCAGCCCTTAACTGCCATGTACTCGAACTTTCCACTTCGTAGAGGGGGAAACTGAGGCTGGAAGACCAAAGACTTGCTGGGGGCTCCTTGGCTCTGTTAGCAAGGGCCCTACAGGGGCCAGTGTGCTTGTGGGGGATCTCCTGGGAAGTGGGTGTGCCTCTACCAGGAGGACGGGGCAGGGAGGAGAGGCATGGAGGGGAAATCCAAGGCTAGCCTGCAGTCCCCGTGATAAGCCTTATCAACGGCCTTCTAGGTCAACGCAGGCCCCAGCCAAGGAATGCTTGCTGCCATCTCTGCCCTCAGAGACTTCAGAAAGCACTGGCCTTTCCCACCCTGAGTCCTAGCCAGATGGCCCCTCACTGACCTCAAGGGAGTGGCTCCCACCAGATCCCAGCCCAACTGATTTGGCATTTGAGGCCATTTTCCCAGGAAAGGTCAACAAAGAAAATGGGCACCACACATCTGGGGATGAGACGGCTGGGGTCTCTGCGTCCCTTTACCTATCCCTGGGGCCCCAGTACAAAGATAAGCAACAGCTGCAAACAACCACAGGCCCTCCCCCATAGCAGACACTTAACAACCTTCCAACATGAGGGCTTTCGGATGATGAAACTCAGGCTTAGAGAAGTTAAGTAATCTGCCTAAGGTCACACTGCAGGTGGGCAGCCCAGCCTGCACTGGAATCCAGGTCTCTCTGTCCAGCCCCAGAGATTGAGGCAGCCTCCTAATGCCTGGAGAGTGAACTGCTGGGACACAGAACTGCCCACATAGAAGGCTGAAGCCAGCTGGGCTCTTTCTCTGCCACCCAGGCCTGATTTGGGCCTAATCCCAGTGCCTGGCTGGGTTGCATGGATTTCAGGCAGCAGAGAGATTAGAAAGTTGTTTCGATATTGGAAAGGGCAGACAGGATCTTTTTCCTTTTTCTTTTAAGGTGGTGTCTTGCTGTGTTGTCCAGGCTGGATTCAAAGTCCTGGACTCAAATGATCCTCTCACCTCAGCCTCCCGGATAGCCAGGATTACAGGCATGCACCACGATGCCTGGCTTGTGAATGGGATCTTAATCAACTTTCCGGGTCGAAGGCTGACCTGCAGCACTGGTGATAAGAGGCTTTCAGAAGCTCAGGGGGCCAGAGGCACAGGCTTGCTCACAAAGCTGGTAGTCCACTGTGACATCTGCTCTCTTTCTGGGCCTCAGTTCCTTCATCTCTAAAATGGGGCTAGTGACAGGTGGCAATCTCCCAGGGAACAAAGAGGGGTAAAGTCATTTGTCCTGTTCTCTGTCAGGGGTCTGGGGCGTGTCGGGGTGGAGAGAGAGGAGGCGGCAATGGTGGTGGTGGAGTGTGGTTGCAGGTACTCACCAGTCACGACACTGAAGGTGAGACTGTCTACACTGGCCTCATAGTTGCGGCCCTCAAAGTGCAGGGTCAGCCGGAAGGGCTGGCCCCGTCGCACCACCAGCTTCTCCCGGCACAGGTCGGCCGTGTGGTGGTCTCGGCCATTGGACTCCAGCTCCAGATCGCACCTCTCCAAGATCAGCTCTACAGAAACAGAAGGAGAGGCATGAGCCTCGGGAGCATAGCTGTGAGCCCCAGCGAGAACCCGCCCTCCCTGGACATGGGGGCCTTGTGCCCTCTTACTCCCCACGAAGCACGGCCATTCTCCCTGCTGACCTCTCTCCACAGCCCTTGTCACACAGGGGCTGGGGAGGGCCCAATCTCCCTAACCCTTTTTTGTTCTTTTTAATTTAATTGAGACAAGGTCTTGCTTTGTTGCCCAGGCTGGAGTGCAGTGGTATGATCACTCACTGTAGCCTTGAATTCCTGGGCCCAGGGGATCCTCCCACCTCAGCCTCTTGAGTAGCTGAGAGGACAGATGAGCACCACTAATTTTTTCATTTATCAATGAGCTGGGACTATAGGTGCATGCCCAGCTAATTTTTTCATTTTTGGTTTTGCCATGTTGCCCAGGCTGGTCTTAAACTCTTGGGCCAGGCGATGCTCCTGCCTTGACCTACCAAAGTGCAGACATGAGCCACAGTGCCCAGCTTTCCCTTAATCTTTTAATCACAAGGTTGTGACCCCCTGTGGCACTTCCTAGCTGTGTAATCTCCAGCAGCCATGGGGAACGGCAGTATCTACCTCCCAGGGCTGGTGTGAGATGAAATGAATTAATGTATGTAAACCAATACAGTGTCTGCTGTGTAATAAATATTCTATAAACACGAGCTATTCTATTGCTATCAGAGGGTTCTTCTGGTTTAAACAGGGGCAGTATTTGGTATAGGTCAATTACACGGGCTTTGCCTTTAGATCCAACTTTCAATTTACAGGAAATACACAGGGCTGAGGAACAAGCTAAACACAGAACCAGGGTGCAATTGAAAAACTTCATACACTGGGAAACTATTGACAAAGGATCCAGTTTCTTTAACAAAAGGTTGTACGAAAAATGAAAAAAAAAAAAAAAAAAAGAACCATTAAAGAGAGATCCTATAAAGAGAAACTTAAACCCATTGTGATGTATTGATCTTACTTGGATCTTGGTTTCAAAAAAGTATTTTAAAAGATGTATTACATGTATAAGACAACTGGGAATTTAAATACGGACGGCATAATGGTGATATCAAAGAATTTTTGTTAATTTGAGAGTCCTTACCCTTTAAAGACATACAGTGAAACATTTACAGATGACATGTAGTGGTGTCTGAGATTTGCTTGCAAATAATAGAGGATGTGGGCAGGGGCAGGAGAAGCCACGGTGGTCAGGACTGGGTGATGAGGATGTAGGAATTGATTAAACAATTCTCCACAATGAAACATTTTTAACATGATAGGAGCTTTGGAGACTTCCAGAGGTAGGTTTTAGTTCTGCTGTGCTGCTGTGTGAGCCTAGGTAGGTGTCTCCCCGTCTCTGTGCTTCCTCCTCTGAAGTCTCAAGGGGCTGTTGTGAGTCTAGAAGAGGTGTTGGGGAACCCCTTCCCCAAGCCCCAGCCCAAAACGGAAGCTTGATATGTGAAAGTTCCATTTACAGTTTCAGATGGAGCTGAGGACAAGGGCAAGATCAGGGTGACAGATGGGTGGGAGTCTGGGGGAAAAACAAATCTCAAAAACCTTGCCAAGCTCAAGGTCAAGACTGGGAAGATCTTAAGGTGGACGGAGTGGACAAGACAGACTCTTCTAGTTGTGGTCCAACTGAGGCCCGGGGGCAGGAATTTGTTCAAAGTCACCCCGCAAGTTGGTCCTTGCCGTGGGACAGCCCAGGTCTCCTGCCCGCCATCGACCGTTCCAAAAATGAGATGCAAAGTGCCTTGTGTGTGAATTATCTCAACTTAAATCCCAGAATGGCTCCCTTACATAGATGCCATCATGATTCCCATTTTGTAGGCAAAGACGCCAGGTGGCCCCAGGTCCCAGGACGAGTGGCTCCTTTGGGACTGGAATCCAGAGCTGTGGGATTCTGTAGGATTCTGCCCAGGGAACCACCTCACTACAGCCCCGAGTTTGTTCCCCAGCCCCTCTTGTGACCCTCCCCCACCACGTCCTGTGTTGTTCTCAAAGCTGAGGGCAGATAGCTCTGTGCCACTGAAGTATCAGGGATGTCGGTCCCCTGGAACCGCAACAGGAGAGACCTCTGTGGCCAGAAGGAAGAACTTCCTGCTGGCCTGCTGGGGCAAGGAAATGCTGTTTTTGGAAACTTCAGTCCCAGGGAGCTTGAGCAGGAAAGAGGCCATTGTTGTCCCCGTGGAAGACCCTGGAGATATGGCCAGTCCCTGGGCTGCGGGAGACATTTTCTCAGTCTGTTCTCTGAAGAAGGGTTCCCAGAAATCATGTCTAGCTCCAAAGGTGCAGAAACACTGGGGTCTGGAATTGTAGGATTTATAGGATTTCTGCACGAAGAAAGGGTCTAGGTCTTCTATCGGAAGTGGCCCCTGTGACATGAGGCTGGGGGCTTGTCATAACTGGCTTCTCCAGGATCTCCCAGCACCGCTGAGTCCTGCTTTTGAGCTTGGGGGTGAGAAGATGCATTGAGGACAAGCGGCCACCGAGGTGACACATCACAGTGTGTTGGGAGCTGGGTGGCTGAGACCACATGGCAGGGTCAGGCGGGTCCACAGTTCCTGCTACCCACGCCTGCTCCACCGGCCCCATGTCCCTGTCCCACACCCCTTCCTGGGGGAGGCAGTGGGTGCAGAAGCCATCCCCGGATGAACTTAACCCAAGAGCCAGCTGGGATTCTGGGTCCAGCAGTGAATCCTCCGTGGTAGAAATCCCTCCCACTGGGAGCTACGGCAGTGCTGCCTCTGTGTGTGTGTGTGTGTGTAGTTGTGTGTGTGTGTGTGTGTGTCACAGAGGGGGGTTACTGGTATGAAATTAATTCAGCCTCTGTTCCACCCCTCTCAGCCCTCACGGATGCACCAAAGGCTGACACTATTGTCCTTATTTTATAGGTGAGACTCAACAAGTGGCCAGGGGTGTAGGGTTGCAGAACTTGAGAGCAGGAAGAGCAAGCCTGGTTTCCAAAGGCTCTCCCATAGGATGCTGAAAGCTCCTCTCCGGCCTCTGGAGCCAAGGACTCAGCCAGGCTTGGCTGGTACACCACTGGGGTGGCGTGCACACCCCTTCCGGCTGGCAGGGACCTCCCTGACCTAAGTGTTCTGAGGCCAGGCCCACACCCCCTGTTCAGCTCCAGGCACACATCAGGGAGCCAGCCCCCACTGACTGATGGAGAACACATGCCAGTGATCCACCAGGGCAGCACTTTACAGTTTGCAACACCCCTTCCCGGTCCATTGCTCCATCTGATCTAGGGAGGCAAGGGTTTACGATTATGCACTGCGGATGGGGAAACTGAGGCTCCAACCAGCCTTGAGGCGCCTCCCCACCCGGCCCAGTCTGCCTGTTGCTCTCCAAATCAGGACTTAGGGATTCATATCTCCCACCGGGTCTTGACCCCCAATTCCCCGTGGGGCCCCTGAGACCTGGGTGGTAGCCCCGGGACCCCTGAGCGGCGGCGGCACTGACTCTAGTACTCACCCTCGGCCATGGTTGGGCGGGGGCGGTGGCTCCTTCCACTGGCGGCGGGACCCTCCAAGTGCAACCCCTGGCTGCGGACACTGCCGAGGCGGAGCGCGCGCCAACTTATAGCCCGCCGTGGGGCGGGCCGGGGGCGGGGCGGTGCGCGGGGCCGCGCGGGAAGGCGGCGACCTGGGAGGCCACCCATTACCCAGTCCCGGGCCCATGCCGCCGGCGCTGGGGCGCACCCCGGGGACCGGAGCGCGAGGGAGGGACGGCGGCTGGGCGAGGGCGCCCCCTGGGGGAGCGGACAGGCACACACCACTAGCCCAGGACACAGACACACCTGGACCCACAGAGTCAGACCTTGGAGAACACACACCTGGACACACACACTCAGATACAGACACATGCAGCACCCTCAGAAACACACAACGGAACCGGGTGCACAGGCGCACCTGGACACACAGGCGTGGACTCTCAGGTCAGATCTGGGATCAAGGACACCTCCACCACCAACATACACACACGCGCGCGCACACACACACACACACACTCAGATACACATACACAGGGAGTGGATGCAGACACACAGAGACGGGGCTGTGGAGTTACACACAGACACAACTACAGAAGACATGCCTGGACACAAAGACACAGTGACATGGACACAAAATCAGATTCAAATTGTAGGGACACACCAGGACATAGACACAGCCTGACACATAGCCGGGTAAGCCTTGACTGCAAGCCATACACAGCTGTGGACACAGATGGGCAGGTGTCTAGAGGCAACTGGCGCACACAAAGACCGCCACACACCAACTGCTACTGTCAGATGTGGACGCAAAATCAGAGAGGGCGTGCACAGACACACAAAGGTGTGGTTACCCAGAGGTGGACACACATGCCAGCATGGACTCAGGTACAGACATGCAGACGCACCTGCAAAAATGAGACACCCATATCCTTCCCTGAAGCAAACCCAGATAATCTTCCTATCTCACCCATCCTTGTATCTGTCTAAGCCATCCATCCACCCATCCATCCACCTATCCATCCACTCACCCATGCGACACCTACCCCCCACTATCCATCCAATTCATCCTTTCATCCATCCCTCCTCTGCCTTTTCTTCCCTCTCTCCCTCAATCTATCCATCCACCGAGCTTTCTTGAGGGCCCACTGTGTGCCAGAAAGGAGCAAGGCCAACCTTCCAGGGACTCAGCCTAGGACTCCTTGAACCTGGCAACCAGGGGGCCCATCTCTCATCCTGGTATCTCTGGTCCCCTGGTCTCTTGCGCTTCCCAATGCACTGCGAGGCCTGAGCAGAAGGGTTCCTGGAGAGACAGAGGGGCTCCCCCAGCACTTTTTCTGGAACAAGCTCCACATCTATTGATGAATTTGGACGACAAAAGCAGCCTCCACCTCCATTCCTAGATGACACCTGGCGCAGGGAAAAACCCGGGTTGCTTTGGTGGATATTTGTCCCTGGGTCAGACGGGCTCTGGCTGGAGTCTCAGTGAACAAAACCACAGACACCGTGTTGGGTCCAGCCGAGCCGTAATCGCTCCATTTTACAGATGTTGTCGCAGAAGCTGTTCCTCGCAGCCAGTGAAAGCTCAGAGGAAAGAGCAGGGTGAGGAGAATCCCCTGACCCAGAGGGAAGTCGATCAAGAGGCCAGGGCTCAAATTCCCACTCTGCCCCTGACCAGCTGTGTGGCCATGGGCAGGGTTTTGGCTCTCCAGGCCTCAGTTTCCTCCTCTGCAAAATAGGGGCAAGAATCTCTCCCTCACAGGCCTGAGTAAGACTCAATCTAAATGACCGAGATTGCGTGTCTTGTACATGGTGAGCATGCAGTAACTGGGGTCCCTGAGGCTTGGCATCGAAATAGCCAGTGTCTCAGAACCTAGCTATTTTGGGACCCCAAGGAGAGACAGGAGGTGCAGGGACAGTCAGGTCCGTGGAAGGAAGGCTGTGTTTCCACGGGTGTCAGCCCTGTTCCAAATGAAAGAATGGGTTTGGCCTTTTCCACCAGGTACTTTTTCTTTTAAAAACCCTCAGCCTGGGAGCTCCCTAGAGGACAGGGAGCCACCTAAGTATTTTATTTTTATTTCTTTGAGACAGGGTCTCACTCTGTCACCAAGTTGGAGAACAGTGGCGCCATCCTGGCTCACTGCACCTCTATGCCTCAGGCTCAAGCGATTCTTCCACCTCAGCTCCCCTGAGGCGCTGGGACTACAGAAGTGCACCACCATGCCTGGTTAATACTTCCGATTTTTGTAGAGATAGGGCTCTCACTATGTTGCCCAGGCTGAACTCCTGAGCTCGAGTGATCACATGCATTGGCCTCCCAAAGTGCTGGGATTATAGTTATGAAACATCATGCCCGGCCCACCCAAGATTTTTAAACTCTTCTTGACCACAGTGTCCAGCATGGTGCCTGGCTCACCGCCAGACCCCAGAAATGTCTGAGTTGAGAAATAGTCAATTCCATCAGCAGCAGCGGCCCCATCCTGAACGTCTCTATTCCCTCTTCCCGTAGGCCTGGGCTGACTTCATCACACAGAGTGGGTGTGTCATGCCGCCCTGGGTTTACATTTTGGCCTCACTGTGTAGCCATGTACACTACACAGCAAGTCACCCAACCTCTGTGCCTCAGTTTCCTCATTTGTAAAATGGGGACAGTAATGGTACCTACTGCACAGAGTGTCATGAGGACTGAGTGAGCTAATTTATGGAGAGTTTTTACACAGCAGCCAGCAAACAGTCGGCTCTCAGTGGATGCTGGCTGTGAGAAGGATCCCATTAGGTGATATTCCTGGAGCTTAGCATAGAATTCCAGGCCTGTCCCCGACCCAGCCAGCTGCCTCCACTTCCTCTTCCACATTCCACACAACTATGGCCACCTGAGTGACGTATGGCCTTGAGCGACCCCAGGATGGGGCCAGCTGGAGTCAGGACTGGCTTCTGGGAAGGTAGCAGCCAGAGGCCAGACCCCAGGCTGGGCCCAGAGACCTGGATTCCAGTCCCAGTGACCAGGCACCCTTACCCCACTCTGGGCTTCAGTTTTCCCATCTGTTCAAAGGGACTGGGAAACTGTGCCCTGTCTTAAAGGATTCAAAACTCCACCGAGTCCCAGAGAGGCTGATCATGGGCTCAAGATCCACAGTCAGGGCCCTTTGGCATCCATCCAGGGGAAGTGCTGTGCAATGAGCAGACACCTGAACAGGAGGGCTCTGAGGTCACTCTTGGCTGTGTGACCCTGGGCAAGTTACTAGACCTCTCTGAGCCCCAGTTTTCTTCTCTATAAAACAGGTATAGTAAGAGTCCCTGTCACTGGGGATTAGAGATCATGTTTCTACAGTGCTGATCACATAGTAAGTACTCAATAAAGTCACCCAAGCTTTATGATGATGTCACCAAGAGTCAGGACTCTCTCCAAAAAAAGGAGGTTCCCATATGTGGGTGAAGCGGATTGCAGTCATTGTAGAATATTTGGCAGGTGTTGCTCAGAAAAACTCTGTCTCCCAAACAAGTCTTGTTCCCACAGTCACTGATGCCTAGAATCCCAGCGTCAGAGAGATTCAGCCCCTTCCACAAGGATTTTCAGGCCTCAAGGTGGTGACAAAGGTGAATATTTAGAAACTCTGGAATAACCCATTACCAGCCAGACATTCCACTTAAACCTCACAATATGATTCTTATCATTTGTTAAATGAGGAACCCAGGGCTCAGAATGGTGAAATGCGTCACCCAAGCCCACATGGTCAGGAAGTGGGAAAGCAGGGCCTGTGCCTGCTCCCCTGAGGTTCAGAGGTCAGCCCTGTCACCCCACGCCCTCCAGAGCAGTGCGCAGGGGCATGGGCCATGTCCAGCCCTAGGGCTTTCGGCAAGTGAGGCCTCCGAGGACTGCACCTCTGCTCCTAAAGCATGGTGCGTGGCGTGCACTGGACGCTTAATACATGTTTATGGCCTGAGAGGGAGGGATGAGTTACCGACAATTGGAAGAAGAATAGAAGGAAGGAAGGAAATACAGAAAAAAGATTAAAGTTCAGAAAGGCTGGAGAAACTGGCTAAGGTCACACAGCATGCCCAGGCTCCCAGGCCATGGCTCAGCTCAGCCACTTCTTAGGGACAAGGTACCTCCAGGCAAGAGACAGACCTGGACAGCTGATGGGAGAGGGAGGGAGGGACAGAGGGCAGGGGGGGCGGGAATCTGCGGGGGCCTCTGGAGGCTTTTCTACCAGCTACTGACTCACGGGATGAGCAGCGTCTGGCATGAGGGAGCATGAGGAGGGTGGGGCAGACTCCCCTGAGGTGGGATGGGGTGGGGTAGAGGTGTTAGGATGGGACTCAGGGAAAATGTCAGGGGGCAGGCCTGACCTTTCAAGCTCTTCGAGAAAGTGGCCTGTCTGGGGCGGGATCTGGGTGTTCCAGGCTGTGGGGGACAGAGAGCAGGGCATCTGCATAGGGAGGGAGGATTTTTCCAGTGTGTCCACTTTGCAGATGGAGAAACTGACCTGGTCATCTTGTACTCAGCTCTGACCCCACAATGTATTCCCCTCCAAGTGCAGTCCATGCCCCTTCCACTAGCTCTGCAGCCGGCATGGGGTCCCAGCCTGTTGAGCTTGATGGACAGCAGGCAGGCAGGCGCTCTTATTCTTCTCTGAAGCGTCGGTTTCCGTTTCTGTAAAAGTGGGAATCACATCCCAGGCCTCACAAGGCACTGAAGGCCCTGCAGGGCGGACCCAACTTACCCTTCAATCACATCTTCCACATTCATCCCTTCCAGCCTCACTAGACATGGTACTTGACACCAAATACACCCTGCAAACACCCGCCTCCAGGCCTTTGCTCCAGCTGTGCCCTCTACCCAGGATGGCCTTCCCCTTCACCTATCAAAGTTTAACCCAGGCGTTAAGCCCCATCCTCCTGAAACCCACCCAGAGACTTCCTTCTTGCTTCCTTGGCCCCACACCCACAGGACACAGTCACAGCCTGCCTTGTGTCAGTTCTGTTGTTTGTGTATCTTTGTCTCCCTCTACCCACCTGGCTCTTAGTAGCTGCTCAATAAAGGTTTGTGGAATGAATTCATGACCTGCACCAGGGGTTCTAAGGAGGAGAGAGAGAGAACTTGTTCAAGCCCAAGCCAGATTCTTGGGGTTAGCCTGGGAGCTCTGTTTGAAAGGATTTGTGATGCCAGTTGCCCCTGGTAGGACCAGGAGCCAGGGTGAGGTGCTGGGGCCTCTCTCAGCCCTTGCTGTCTGTACCCAAGATGAGAGATCTGG